AGAGTTCACCCCGGAAGTGGTATTGCAGAAGACCATCTCTTCCAGAATTTCATACTCATAGCAATGCCTGACAAACACAATGAGCTGATCCATTTCTTTTCTTGGCACTTTTTATGTCATCATTATCTGTGCACTGCTAATTAGATTGTGCATTCAACCAAACTGAAGGTTATGCCAGAAGGTGGAGGGGAACACAAAGATGAAATCACCCCGGAAGTGGTATTGCAGAAGACCATCTCTTCCAGAATTTCATACTCATAGCAATGCCTGACAAACACAATGAGCTGATCCATTTCTTTTCTTGGCACTTTTTATGTCATCATTATCTGTGCACTGCTAATTAGATTGTGCATTCAACCAAACTGAAGGTTATGCCAGAAGGTGGAGGGGAACACAAAGATGAAACTATTCATTCAGTTTAGTGTCACAGCATGACTCACTCAAGATTGCAGGCTCTCAACTCTTACTGTATATGTTGTTGGTTTACTTTTTAATATTAATCAGATGACTTTTCAAATTAATAAGAATCATCATTAATTTTCAAGGTTGAGAAGACTTACTGTAGTCATAAATGTTATCAAATTGTTGAAAATAAGCCAGCCTGTGTTTTTATTTGTTTTTTTAAACGGGCAAAAGGCCAAAGTTTCACATCCCACCAGAGAAACTCTTATCCTCCAGCCCCAGCCAGGGTGGTTGTCCCCTAGGATGCACACTATTAGTGTAGACAAAGTCTGACATAACTCAGCAAAGCGAAGTGGGGAATATCAGAGTCCTAAATGCATCTCAAAGCTGTGCATGGAGTACTAAAAGGACAGGAACTGATGTGTTAGGCAGAGGATGTAAAAAGAATAGGAGTCCTTGAAGCACAAAGGTCTGAGTTAAAGCATTTCTAGCCCACGTCTAGCCAGCCCTAACATTGCACCATTTTTAATTAAAAAAAATTATCTAGAGAATCCTTCTGTGGGGAAAGATAGGGACACATCCAATATGCCTGTGCTCCTTCAGACATCACTAGTCTCCTCTTATGTATACAGTTCCTTAGGCAATTACTAATGCAACAAGGTTTTTATTGTGATGCCCACTGAAGTCCGTAGTTTATTAAAATATTTTTTGTTTTAAATCCTCTCAATATTATGTACTAGCTGTTATGTGCAATCACTTAAAGAGCAATGCAAAAAAACCCACAATTGCATATTAAGTTAATGACAACATGTACTTAAGTTAGAAATAAAATCAATTTAACATAGCACACTAAAGTCTAATGAAACTTTAGAGATCTATGCTAGGTGCAACAAAAACCAAGCAAAATATACATTTCACTTCTAGTATTGCAAACTCAGCTCTTTGTAATGGCAAGTCTGCTGCTAAGAAAAATAATGAAAGGAAAATAATGTGATTATGAGCTTAGCTTGGATCACTACTCATATGACAACTCTGGACAAACAGCTTATGGCATTGCATAAGTGACAAACTTAGCAAGATTACACAGCTGCATTTTTGTAATACTGATTATTGTTTCGCCTGGTAGCACAATTCCAGAGCCTTGCAACATGAGACTATTATAATTGTACCGAAGAAAATTTCATAGCAGATTAAAATAAGCAGAGGACTACAGTATGTTCTCACTTGTTCCTGCCCAACTGCACTGCTTTCAAGGAGCTTGTCTGGATATACAGTATCAGAAATTAGGGTTTGGAACATAGTTTTCAATTTAATCAAGTGTGATTGATTAGTTAGGAACATGCACGTAGTCCCTCCTTCATGCATGGGTGGTTCACTGAATTAATTAGGATAGAGTGTGTGTAAGCAAGTGAAGTAAGCTGGAGCACACCCAGAAAAAGGTATTGAACACACCTAATTTTATTTAGCATAATTAGCTCAATTAATATCTTGTCTCATCCTATCAACCTACTCCTTGTGAGTAGTTCAGCACACTCACCCTCTTAATAGCTGTGCAGAAAGAAATACTATCCTTTACTTTTTTGTGATTCATTGTGTACACTTAAAGTATGTCTAGACTGCATCACTCTGTCGGCAGAGGAATGAAGAATTAGGCAGGTCAACATTGCAAATGAGGCAGGAATTTAAATATCCCGTGCCTAATTTGCATAAAAATGGCAACCATGTTTGGCCGACTCAGAACTTTGTTGGCAAAAAGCAGCAGTCTAGAGGGGAATCTGTCAAGAAAGCCTTTTTCAACAAATCCCTTATGCCCCCTGCAAGAAGGTTTACAGGAAAGGTTTACAAGCAAGTAAGTGGTCCCCCTCATGCCCAGATGCCCACACTCCTCTCAACCTCCCCCCTCACCAAAATCCTGCACCCCCAGCCCACTCCCCCCCGTCCCCTGGCCAAACACCCTGCCCCCAGCCTGCTCCTGCCTCCTCCCTTGCTCCTGCCTCCTCCCCCTAGGGGTATGTCTACACTACCCCGCTAGTTCGAACTCGCGGGGTAATGTAGGCATACCGCACTTGCAAATGAAGCCCGGGATTTGAATTTCCC